GCCTGGAAGTTGGAGCACCTCTGCTGAACCCTGCGGTGTCACCAGAGAGGAATCTGATCTGATGTAACACTGCAGGGGAAGCTGCCACAACCACCAGCTAGTCCAGTGAGACACAGGGCTCCAGTAAAACAAACCAGTGGGTATTGATCAGCTGGAAACAGAAATGAGGAGTGCTTGGGCCGACAAGCAAAATATACCCGAGTTCTGTAAGAGAAGGAGAAATTTTCTTTGCAGCCTTTGTCTTCTCGTTTTTACAAGTCTGGCTCTGTCTTGCTGTGCCTTGCTCAGCACTCAGAAGTTTATTCACAGCGTTTCTCTGCAGTCTACTTTAAAGGAACTCACAGCTAAAAGATCTTCTCCAATGGATGCTGCTTTCCACTCTTTTAGAAATGATACTGTTCCCTGAGAGCCAGGGGTGCTCTACCAAGACAGTGTGTGACAAATTCTTTATGAGGGAATACATAATAAATTGAGGATTTTCTTTTATTTTGATTATTTAATATTCAATATTTGCATTATGGAAGCGCCTGGAGGTTCCAGCTGAGATCAGTGCCCTATTGTTCTAAGCCATGCATAAAAACATGGTCAGAGATGGGGAGCTTACCATCTAAATAGATGAACTGGATAAAGGGTGGGAGACAGGAAACATCTATTATTCTCATTTCATAGCTGGAGAGCTTGGACACAGACAAATTAAGTGCCTTTCCCAGGAAAGTCAATGGAGAAGAGCAGAAATCATCCAACGTCCAGGATCCCAGTGTAATACCCTGCTCAAAACACACCACATTTCCTGTTTAAATATATCTTGCAACACTGTAACGAAAATGACAAATATTTGTTTGGAATATTTTCCTTAAGACACACAAAATGAGAGCAGCAGCAGAAAGGTTACATGGCTACAAGGCATAACAGTCCAAGGGGAGTGTTGATACTCAAATACCATTACAAGACATTGACACAGCAGCAGTCAAAATAAGATTTTTTTCTCAACTACTTAGCCTTACTGCCTGAAGAAGTATTTCCTAGAATATTCAACTGTTCATAATGCAGAGGAAGATCAAAAATTGATAGACAGAAGCAATTAATTTGCCCCCTTCTCTAGCTTAACCAAAATGAGGTTTCTTTGTTTGATAAACCCAGTAAAACTATCCTTTGATGGGCCAGGAACTGCAGCCCCCCCCTTCCCATACGCATTTTCCTGCAAAAGAACTTGGTAGCCCATCTGCTTCACACTTTCATGGATAATTATTGGATCTATTTGCATTAAAATAATTGTTATCTCAATTTTTCAGTTTAGCAGCCTCTTGAAGTAACACCTGGTGAGAACTAGTGATGGAAGCCTCTCTTTTAGTAGTAGCTTTTATTTTAGAATGGGATTGTTTTTGTATGAAATGACTTTTCACTAAGACACTAAAAAAATCTATACAGCAATTTTGCCTGTCTTTGAAAAAATAATATTTTCAGAAGTGGATTCTTATGATTTGCTCTTTGGTACCCTAAAAAAAAAAGTTTGAAGCTGCCTGGAAAGAGAACCATAAACACTTTGGATACCAGGTAAATATTTCAGCTGCCAAAGTTTGGGTTTAGACACTTAGCTTTGGAAGAACTTCAAAGGAAAAAAAAATAAAAAATAAAAAGACATCTTAAACAAGCATTTAATCATATTTAGCATGGGCAGGAGAAATTTCTGGATGGGACATTTGGAATAATTGTTGGAAGAATTATTGATTCCCGTTGTCTTTCCTGGAGAGAAAACCCTTGGTGATGTGTGTGGTTGAATTTGGATCTAGAGAGTTTCTCCCCATAGACCTCAAAGACTTGAATGTGTGGGCTTTCATTTTCTTTCATTTTTTTCCTAATTTAACTTCCTGTATTTTATTCCTGTTTTCATCTGATGGAACAGTGGCATGTTAGCAGGTCCTGCACCTGGAGAATAGTGAAGTGCTTCAGAACTTCCTTCCCCGGGGTACCCATGGCCTCCCCTGCCATCTGTCTGCACCGTGCCAGGAGCCGGGGCTGCTTCCTTGCTGGAATTTCACGAAGGAGCCCGGTCCCGTGGAGTTCTGGCTGCCCTGATATCTCCAGCACTTGAAAGAAATGTCATGGAGTCTGTGAGGATTAGAACTGAGAGCGCACAGCAGCTCTGTGCTGTGCTTTTTTCCGAGGTGACTTTTCCCACATTACTCGGAGGGGCTGGTTGCCCATCTCACCCCATCTCCCGAGATGTTTGTCACCTGCTGAACCTTCTGCCTTCATCCCTTCCAGCTGGGCTTTTATGGATGAGCTGGGCTCTGCTGGCTCCGGCCCAGGAGCAGCCTTAGGACAAGCACATCTTCACCTTACCCTGCCAGGTAAAAGCGATGTTGGGCAGGAATGAATCCATCTCCTCACCCTCTGCGTGCCCCTCGCTGGGGATTTGGGCAAGCCCAGCTGTGCCCTCGCTGCAGCTGGAGCCGGGCTCGGACCCTGCCCCTGTTGAACATTAACTGTATCCCTGCCTGCGTGCAGAGGGAGGACCGGAGCTCGGCTGACAGCAGCGACAAAGAGCTGGCAGGGCTGAAAGATTCAATTTAACTTTCTTTCTCCTCCCCCGCTTCCATATGCGAGGGCACACAGTGCTGTTCCTGCTTTTGAAACTTGCGGGGCAAAGGAGCATTGGTGTCCTCATTTTCCTTCCTCCCTATTGATGTATCATTGCCAGGATGAAAAAGGACGTCTCAAGAGCTTTTGAAAAAATGGGTGACTACTCAAGACATTTTATAAAGGAGGAAGAATGGGAGAGAAAATAGGACTCGGTAGGGGGTAGAAGGAGCCTGAATGTGTGCCTTGTCTGTCTATTCTTTCGCTTGAAACCTGGAGCTGTTGTTCCTATTTCAGTTCAAACTGTCACCTTTAGTTCATGATGGCTTTACTGCCCTTGCTCCTGAACCTCAACAGATTGGGGCTTATTTACCTATTCACACTCTGCTGTGGAACCTCATTAATAGGCTTATTAGCCACACCATTCACGTGCAGGAGGGCTCACAGAAAGGATCCCAGCCACTTTGAGAGGAGGAGGAAAAAACTGTAAAGAGATTATGCTCTCATTCAGCAGCCTAACTGCTATGAAAGGCTCCCTGGGCCCACTGAGATCTCTTGAAGCCTAAATATGATGACAGAATTGATCTCCCCCCCCCCCCCCAGTCCTTTAATTCCAAACATGCTTCTGCTTTTCTCAGATTGAGGAGCTGGGCTGTTGTGGGCCACTTTAGGAGAATGTGGCTCATTTAAGAGAAAAGGCTGCTATTGATAGACTGCTATCTTTTCATCCTCCAAAAGAATAAATTCTGACAAGTGCTTCCAGACCTTGGAAATAGGTGTTCTGATTTGTCATTTTTAGTGGAATGCTTCCTTTTCTTTCAGAGCATGCAAAGATATCGATGAATGGGGAAAGGTATTGCAGCTTCCTGTGCCAGACAATAATTTATGTGAGAATGTGTTAACAATGTTTTCAATGGGCGATGGACATGCCCGGTGCTGGGAAAATTGGATCTTGACTGTGACATCTCAGCTTCTCAATTAGAACATTCAGATGTCTGTTGCTTTAGGAACAACAAAAAAACCCCACAAAACCAAAAAACTAAACCTGTGTTTCCAATCAATTACAAATTTGTCTGCCATCCCTCATAAAGACTGCAGTAGTGGTGGGAAAATACATGCTGGGAGGTAAGTACATACTCTAGAGTAAACTTGTTTTCAAGTTTTTGCTGTCTAGGTGTGTGTCAATAGACTTACACTACGATGTGTGGCCTCAGTCCTTGAAAATCCCCTTGATCAATACTGCACACAACATATAAAATGTACAGTAGAGCTTAAATAAAGTAACGTTAAATTGATCAACACTGATTAAATTTGAGGCAACCACCATTTATTGATTTTGTTGTCAAGCTGACTCTACACAAGCAAGCATTACACAGGCTCCATATCCAAAACCTTTTAGTTGATGGTATCTAAAGCAAATGTTTTATTAAGCAAGGATTAGGCAAAGCTATATTGAATTCTGAATATCCATATTATGCAGTTTTAAATCTGTGTGTCCAAACAAATGATGTTTGCATAACTTTTCGACAACTTTTCCCATTTGGGCACCACACAGGTATTAAAAGTGCACTGTCAGACCAATTCACGGGGCAGCTGGAATCAGGCTGTGGACTGGGAAGACCACGAGGGTGATTTTTGGAGCGGGTGCTATCCAACTACCCTCTCTAGATGGAGCTGGCCACAGCCCAGCCATGGCTTGTGAGCCAGAAACACTTCAGGAGAGGTTCCGGGCACCGCTGCTGAGCTGGTACCGTTCCTGTGTGAGGATGCAGACGCTGCCCAGTGCCGGGGCGGCGGTGCCGCAGCCCGGGCTCACCCACTGCGGTGGCGCTTTCCGCGCTCCCCACCTTCCCTTTCCAACCCGCTGGAAAACTTTCAGCGGAGCAACCGTCCGGGAGCCGCGCGGGGTTCCTCCCCTCAGCCCTGCGGTGGCACGGGGATGAGCTGTCCCGCTCCCCCGGGCAGGCAGCGGCCGGAGCGGGCGATCCCCGCTCCCTCCTGCCCCTCTCCGGTGCTGCCGAGTGCGCCGGGTCCGCGCCGCGGGGGCATCCGCGACCCTCGGGCGGGGCGGGGGCTCCCGGCTCCGCACCTCCGAGGGCCGGGCGGGGGAAGGGGCTCGGCGGCGATTGGCAGAGCCCGGCAGCGCCGTCCAGGAAACGGCTCGGGTTGCAGCGGGGGGAGTGACCGGGGGAGGAGGAAGGAGCCGGAGGAGTGCGCCGAGAGGGGGAAAGGGGGGGAGAGAGAACCCACCTCCCACCCGAGGGGGCTGTCGGCGTGACAAAGCTGCGGCGGCTCGGGGCGGGCGGCTGGATGGAGCGGAGCGGGACCCGCGGCGCGCTGCTCGGCGATGCCCGCGCGGGGGAGGAGGCAGCTGGCGCCGGGCACGGCGGGCTCGCCCCTCTGAGGCGGTAGCCGCTGCGGCCGAGCCAGGGCACGGCACGGGACGGGGCGCCGGGCCGGCTCCTGCCTCGCCTCGCCGCCCTCCTGCCTGCCCCGGGCGCGTCCCGCGGGGGATGCGCGGCGCTGCGCCGCTGCGGGCTCGCCAGCCGGGGCCGCCCGCGCAGTGACCGCGGCCGCAGTGACGGGAGTTTCGCCCCGTCCCGGGAGCCGCCGCTCGGCACCGCGCCCCAGCCCGGGAGCCGCCGCGGAGCGGAGCCCGCCCGGCGCTCTCGCCGCAGGTAAAGGCAGCGGGCGGGCCGGGGAAGGGGCGGCTCCGGGGCAGGGCTGGGGGTCCCGCCGCGCTCTGGGCGCCGTGTGCGCGCTCCAGCGCTCCGCGGGGCTCGGGGATCCCCCGGTGCGGGGCTCGGGGGTGCCCGGGGCGGGATGTGCCGCTGCGGGGCTCCGTTCTGCTCCGGGATGTGCCGCTGCGGGCTCCGTTCTGCACCGGGATGTGCCGCTGCGGGCTCCGTTCTGCACCGGGATGTGCCGCTGCGGGGCTCCGTTCTGCTCCCCGGTGGAGCTGCGGGTTGGGTTGCGGTCACTCGGTCGCCGCTGCGGTGCGGGGGGAAGCCCGAGCAGCAGCGCTGTTCCCCTGCCTTCCCCGCATCCCCGCGGGTGTCTTCGGGGATGGTTCCAGCGGTGACAGCAGGACGGGCAGCAGGGGCTGAGGAAGCGGGGCTCGGCCCCGGAGAGCAGCCCCGCCTCGGTACCGACTCCGGGTCGGAGCCCGGTGCTGCCCAGCCGTGCTGCGGGAGCGGGGCCGCGGGGCACAGCCACCCCGTCTGAGATAAGAGGGGAGAGAAATCAATGAAATATATATTTAAATGCAAAACGGCCCCTTCAAACTGGGACCCATTATGGGTTTGGTGTGAAACGCTATCAACATTTAAAACTTTATTGTCTCTTTTGTACCAAATCCCTGTAAATCTTCCACTAGCCTTTTCTCATTTTCATCTGAAAAGCCTGTTTGGGCTGAATAGACAGCAATCAGCAGCCTCTGGACTCTCCCGCTCTCTGGAATGTCAATTAAAATGCAGATTTTTTTTTTCCCCCCCTCCCCGATCTCTTGGTGGCAAAAGACTTGAGAAAAACAGGATAGTCCTGGAAAGCAAATGAAAGAAGTTCAAACAATGCAAAAGTACTGAAGCTGCCAGCCGGTTCCCATTAGTCCTTCAGAATTAATGTTTAATAGCTGTGATGCTCCGATTTGCTTGGAGATTGAACTCTGCTAAAGAATCTTGTTAGATATATTTGAGTGTATATATATTTTATAGACGGATGTATATTTCTGCATTTTCTGTCCATACACAATTCCTCTGTCAGTGGAACTGTGTATATAAAGCTGTTAGCTTTACAGCTTCATCTACCTGGATTTTTCTGACGAAGCTACTGGGCTTTTAGAGCGCTTGAGGTTTCTTTGTGGAGGGAAGATCCATATTTCACTCAGATTTTGCTATTCCCCGCTTAATTGAGAAAGATGCTGAAAAGTTATACAGTGAGCAATGTATTGATTTGGTTAACATACTCTACAAATCGTACTGTCCCTGGGGAGTGATAAACATCTTATAAACAACAATGCAAGTAGATTAAAAAGAACACTGAGCATTGAATTTAATTAATGCCACTGCTGAACAAGTACTACTTGTTTGTGTGTGCGAGTGTGTTTAAGCTGAAGTACAGCTTGGAGGAATTTGGTTGGGCTCCCAAACCAGTCTGCTTTCCCATGCTTGTCAGTTTGGCAAAGAAAATTTGGGCAGGTATGTGACGAGGTGAAAATTGACTTGATGAGCGAGTGGCAAGGAGAGCCATCAATCACTGGGGGCTGACAACTCCTCCCCAAAGTGTAGGCTGAGAAGAGAGACAGAGTTCCCTTTCAAGGGGAAAAATAAACACTACGTGTGGCTTTCACTGAGTCTGAGACTCCAGGAGGGATTATGGTATTGTAGTCAGGAAGCCAGAATTGTGGAGGCCAAAAAGCATGCTGGGGCTGTGTTCCAAACATTGAGATAGAGGTACATAATTATCCAGCACAGGAGGTCTTTCCAGGGACTCGTCCCCCAGCAACTGTGGCAATTAAACTATGAAAAGAATTTGGTTTCGTTTCATCTTCGCTGGACTCCACTTCTTTTGGGAGAGGGCAATCCTTGAAGCCTGTTTGCTGTCCTGGTGGTAGAGTGCTTTGGCTCCATGGATGGGTGCAGAGCTCTGATTTTTGCGTTGTTGCACCTTCGCAAGCCAGGATTTTGGGTTTGCTGCTGCCTTGTGGATGAAGAATCCCTTCTTTCTGCCAGCAGATGTTGAGGTGCAAGAGGCAACAAAAATCTTCAGGTGAGGAGACGCGTGGCCAAGTAGCCTTGTGCTGCACTTCAGGATTTAGGATGAGGATAGGAGCCACAAATGTGCTTTCAGTGGGGTTTAGTGTAGTCTGAAAATCTGAAACTGCAGGAATGTCAGTGGAATTAGTGCTCTTGGAGTCTGAAATACATGCTGGTGTTCTGGTATGTTTTCTTTCTGCAAAACCATGATAGGATTTTGGATTTATCAACGTAGACTTTAATCGGAGTTTACAGGATGATTTATGGGAATTAAATCAACATTACATCCAGGCTGTTAATTAGGGGTTTCTACCCACTTTACAGCTGGATAAACTGAGCTGCAGGGCTGTGGCTGCCAGACAGCGAGGTGGGCAGTGGACCTGGGTGGTGGCATCCCAGGGGGGTTTGCTCCAGTCCTGCTCCACACGCAGAGTGGTCCCAAAGACAGAGCTCTCTTCAGCTCTACACCTGCTCTGTGCTTATTTAGAGAAGGGCTGGGCAAGCTCTTTGCAAATGTTTGTGCAGTGGTCTGGTGGTGTTTTCACTGGAAATTTAATGGGAGTTGCTAGCTTGTGGTCTGGGGTGCTGGAGCCAGGCTGAAATCTTTTCAGGAGGGACAGGGCTTTGAGGTGATCCCAACGGAGTTGGAAAAAGCCTGCCCTGAAGTAGCAGGGATTCACCTTGTATTGTTTTCCTCAAGTGACTTCTTTATGTCATCCAAAACCTGTTTCTACTGACTCCAGAAGTTACTGTGTATAGTACCCAAGATAAAAGATGTCTCAACAGCATTTGTGAACTTTGTAGCAGCTAGCACAAGGCTAATGAAAATCAGAAACAACTTTTTAAACGGTTGGCTTTATAAAAAGAGAATCTGTGTCCCTGTTTCACTATGCTGAGGTACCCCACCAAATCCCTGTGACAAGGAGTTTGGAGAAGGTTTACTTTATCTCTACACTCTTTTTTTTTTCTTTCTTTTTTTTTTTTTAAATTTTATTTATTTTTTTTTTTTTATTTTCAAGTGTTGAGGGCAGGAGACAAAAAGAGGTTTTGTGCTATTTTTTCCCCTTCCAGACAAGTGCTCTCCACATTTCAGTTGAGTTTCATCACATCTAAGATGAATCATTGACCAGATTAGAACAATTGCTGCAGTTACTTGTTTTATCCATTTACTGAGGTTTTACTTTTATTTCTGAAGCGGAAAATCAGGTCTAATTTTCTGCTTGAGCTGTTAAATCACCCTGTGAGGAGGATGCTCTTCTGACCCTCACCTGGCATCTCAGTGTGGAGGCAACAGGGTCCCCTGAAGGGAGTGCCAGTTCCTTTGGTGCCACTTCTCTGTCACACCGTGGCTGGATTACCACTTAACTCCGTCCATTTAAATTCGTTTTATTGCGAATAAGATAGACTTTTTTTTTTCCCCCCACCTCTGAAAAATATATCTCAATAAGCAGCATTGAGAGACTGAGCAAAGAAAGTTTTGTGCACATAGCTTGGCATGTATGGATGGAAAGTGGTGTTGGGCAGGTCTCCTGTGAAACTGCAATCTATACCATATTTTACACAGATTTTAATTGCCTGTAGTGCAGTGTAGCAAACCAAAATCACTGCAAAGTCTTGAGCCTTTCATCTGACCAGGACTCAGGGGCTTTCAAAGGACACTAAACTGAGTGAGGAGAAGATACATCCATTGGGGAGCTGGAAGTCCTCAGCTGAAGTAGTCTTACAGATTTTTCCAAGTCTAAGCAGTATATTTTTTCAACTGTTTTTCTTGTGGAAAATTACTGAATTCTTGCAAATTCGTCTGGCTGCAGAACTGCCTCGGTGAAGGAATGAAAAACAAGGCAAACTTACATAAACCTTCAAACAATAACAAGAATATAATTTGTATAATTGTGGTAATTTTGTAGCATTACAGGTTATGTGCCTGCACATGTGTGTGCCTCTCATTTTTGAAAACCTGTATGTTTTTCTGTCAGTAAAATAGCTCTCAATATGTGCTGAGAAGTGATTTTGTGAAAACAAGGAGGACTTGGTTACGCCTCAGGTGATGATGGAAACTGCTAACAGAAGATGAAAAGTCACTCACTTTTCACATATTCTTGAAGCTGGAAAACTATTTTTCCCATCCTCCTGCTCCCCTCCCTCTCACCTCAGCTCTGTTTGAGGCTTTATGAAGGTTTTTGGTTTGTGTTTGGAGATGTTTTTGCTGACAGTGTTAAATCTCTCTCCTCTCCGCAGCAGCAGCCGTCGTTCCAAGGGAGGAGGCATTATCCTGGCCGAAGGCACAGCTTTCTCTCCATGCTTCTCTAGAGGTGTTCAGATGGGATTAAAGTCCACATGGAGATATGGAAATGGACCAGGAATTTACTCTAAAAAGATGGTCAGCTGGGATTTGGGTTGCCTTATCTGCCTGGTGGTGGTCACCATGGCTGGACTTTCCCTGGCTCGACCTTCATTTAATTTAGTTGTTGAAGACACCACAGTGGAACCCGAAGGTAAATCACTCTTGAATACTTAATTCCTTACAAGAAGTTAATTTTAAATGCTTGGACATCTGAAATAGAAGTCAAGTTCTTTCCATGTGCTCTGGTAAATCTAAGGCAAATAACAGAGCAGCCCGGGAGAGTTACGGTTTCTGACTTTCCCTGCTCTCGCCTGGGCTGTGTTTGTACAAGCGTGCGTTTGTTTATTCTTGTGCAAGCCAGTGGTGTCAGTGATTTCGCTTGGGACTGTCATCACGTTGTATAATCAAAGTGTACAGATGAAAGTTTTCAGGAATGGGTCTTTAAGGAATCCAGTCCGTGGCACTTTGGAGCTGTTGTGTGTTGCTGTCTCAAGGTACGAAGTGGATGAGTGGCCGCTGCTCTTTGGGATTGTCTTAACCTGAGGAGTCCAGAGAAAAATGAATTTCAGTAGTTTTCATTTGTGAATGTTTAGTTTTGCAGGCACTCTGCAAAAATGGTATTGCAGCTTTGTTGTTGTTTGCACTCAGGACAAACTTCCAGTGTGTGGATCACCAGTTCTGAAGGTGTGAATGTTGAGATCTCAATAGTAAGGGCTGGAGTTTATTGCTGTGAGAGCAAAGGCCAATCTAGACCTTCGCATTGAAAGAGGTGTTTTGATAAAATCTCCTATTTTAAGCCTGCAGTTGTTTGGTATGTTCTTCTGGGTTTGTCTGTCCTCAAGCTTTGCAAAGTGGTTTTCTTCTCTGGAGAGCTCAGGAGGGGCTGCTTTTTCATTCTTGTGAACTGGTTGTGTTGAAGAATGATTTTACTATGTTGTGCTGGATCATTCCTGCTCTCTGAGCATCTGGGGGAGGAAGTGAGGCTTCTTTCATAAGGTTGTATCTGTCTTTTGGAGGAGTGATCCAATAACTCAGCTGTCAAGCTGATCTAATAGTCCACAGAGCATTTCTGACCTGGCAAGCTTGCTGCAGAGAGTTTGGCCTTTACACATTCTACTACTCATGTCCATGGACACAGCTTCGTTTTTATTTAATAATTCTTCATGCAAAACTTATTTGTTTCTATCCACTGCCTCTAAAAATAGACGTCACCAGCTAACGCATTTTTAGAATCTGCTCCAAGTACATTTTTATTGATGGCAGGGGATGAACTATTTAGAGATGATGAGCCCTCTTCCCTAGCAAACATTCCTGAAAAAAATTCTCAAAGAATAGCAATATTGTCTTCTGTCAGCCATAGAGACTGTTGATAGGAAAAATGCTTGGGTTTTTTTTTCTTTCGAAGGTAATCTGAGATAAAAAAAAAAAAAAAAAAGAAGCCCAAGTCTTGTTGCCACTTACTGTATGATTTGTTAATTGAACACCTGATGCCTTTTTGGCTTTTCAGGAGAATGACAAAATCATGAATAGTTCTGGTTTCAGACTAGCTTTGCAGTGAGGTCCCCTAGTTTTTAGAGTTAAGTCAGAAATAAAGTGATTGAAGACTGGTGAAGTGTTTCACAGGAAGAAGAGTAATAGTTTTTGAATGGTGACTGATAATTTTGCAACTTTTCAGGGAAAGAATAGCTTTTATTATTTTGGAAAGCACAGTTTGAGAATATACGTCTCTTACACACTGATATGTAGGGGGTGGAATCTGGGTTTTATCAAAGAGTAAATTGTTAAAAAAGATTTAAAACTTCTTTCCTGGGCAGGAATGTTACTGATGTGAAACAATTTTAGATGTGAGAACCCAAATCATTACCAGAAACAAGAAAAAAAAAAATCAGAAAATGCTTCTAAGTTAATAGCATAATAAGACCTTTTATGCTGCAGAATACAGGGAATTGTGTGGGATTTATATCTGAGATTTGGGAAATAAAACCTCCTTTATGTACTTCATTAAACCCTTTGATAAGAAAAAACAAACCAAAACACAACCAAGTTTTTACACAATCACCTTCTCTGGGTTCTATCACTGCCACCCACAAGCTCTCCAAGCCCACACGAAAAAAACCCTTCAAAAGATCTCTTCAAAGACAGGGCAGACTTCTTTTTTAATTTAGTAACTGCCAAAATGTTTTGGGCACAGCTAATTTGGGGGGTCAGGTGCTCCAATAATGTAAATTTTCAGCGGGGCTGCGGACTGCAGTCATTAGAGCTATGACATTTCATGCCAGCTGAGAAGGTCGGCGGGGCCATGACCTTTGGTGACATTTGCTGATCTGCTCCTGAGTCTTCCTTCATGGACATGCCCTGAATTGTCTGCATTTATTTATTTATTTTCCGTACAAGGTGCTTGGATTGTTATTGTTTATTGTATTAGCGACTCAGACTATTGGAAAACAGGAGCTGAGATTTGTTCCTTTGGGTGTAGCAGAGAAAATACCTTCTCTCAGCTGTATGTACCTTTTGGGACATTTGCAATTATTTTCTTCAAAGTATCTGGCTATGTATAAAAAATACTAAAGTATGTGCTTTAGTTCAAGCAGTATTTATCTAGCGTGGTAATCAGCTGATGGATATGTGCAAGATGTCATGTATTGAGGGGGTGCTGTGCTCTTCTCAGTCAGTCTTGAGTAAATAAATATCCCTCTGTGACCACCGGGTATTACTCTGGTCTGTATGAAAGTGTTAACACTGAAATTGGCATCTTGATCCATTGTGAGTGGTAATGTTGGTGCTGATGTTGTGGGATCCTGAGTGTGCTGGATCTCAGCTCTGGTGCTTTATTCCCAACCCGGGGCTGTTGATCTGTGTGAGCAGAAACAGGACCTGTAGGACCTCTGTGGGGACTGTCAGCTCTCAAATTATATCTCACATCAAGTGTTTACATACGTGTTTTTGTCCTAGGGGAGCAGAGAGACTTTTTCTGCTTTTAAATATTTAGAAACAAGCCTCCCCCAGCGTTTACAAAGGCACCATTCTCTCAGCCTGTGTGTGCCCAGGCCTTTGATGATAGCCAGTGTTTCACAAGGGCTCTGACCGCACACATGGGCTGAAGGCTTACTTTGTGAGCTGAATAATTAGTTTAGACATATATTTGATAAATAGTGAGCTCTCCCTTGACCTCCCCTTGCCCAGGCTGTGTGTTATCATCCTGCTGGGGAGCTAATTTGGTCTCTTACCCACATGCAATGCCTTGACACCATCCTTGGAGCACCCACTCGGAGCCCCTGCCTGGTGTGGTAACAACGCGTTTCAATTCTTTTAATTTAGGTCAAATTTCAAAGGATTAATTTAAGCTTTCCACAAGGGACAGCCTATTTCTGTGTCCTGTGGAAAACACAGTAGTTCAGAATGGTCCTACTTTTGGGAGGTTCCCAGGAGCAGCAGGGAAGGGGAGTGATCCCCTTTAAGGGGTGACCTGTGCTTATGGTGGAAGTGAATAATGAGTTTTTCTATGGGATTTTGAATCAGTCATAGCCACTTGCTGACACTAAACAACACCCAAAAATAAGTGGGGTCAGCACAGTACCTTCCTTTCTGCAAAAATATTGAGTCATATGAGCAACGTACCTTCATTTTTGTCAAAATGTTGGCAGTGCTTTAAGGTTAATGTCACCTGTGGTCACAGTGGTCAGCACTTGGAGATCCTTCTTTAGCTGCTGTGACCTGCGTGGGTCAGGATGTGGGATTTTGTGAGGTGCTCCAGTGTGTGGAGGAGGGATGCTGTGGTGGTGGGATGTCCCCTGTCCCACTCCCCACCCTGGGGTGTTCCTATGGGTCCTCTCCAGCCAGTGCCACTCTGCTGAGAGTCACAGGGCTGGGGGGACCATGCACATCCATCATTTTCCTGGGACGGAGGTGGTGTGGAAGCACCAGAATGCTGCTTCTAGTTTGGTAGGAAAAAAATAAAGCAAATGGTTCCCCCAGGGTTCCCTTTTGGCTGTTTTATTTTGAATTTTTCTTTTTTAAACAGGCATAGCGGCTTTGATATCAGCGAGTTAAATTAAGAATTCAAACCGATTAGTTAAATCAGAGTTGGCTTTATCTTTTTAATTTCTTTTCCTTTTAATTTTATTTCATGGAAGGGCAATTATTAAAGCCCATTATGGAGGAATGTGACATCCCCACAGCTTCGGGTGAGGGCTGGCTGCCCTTTCAGGGATCTGGTTCAGTAAGTTATTTGGCCCAGTACAGGATTTGCTAGCTGAGATTCTGGGGAATTGTAGGAGCAGCCAGATTAAATCAGTCTTAATGTGTCCATTCTGTGTTTAAAATCTGCAGCCCTTTAGCAGGGGCATGGTCTTGAGCTTCAAACTAATTGGACGTGGGTAGGGTTGTTATTTACAGTCAGTGTTGATGAGACACTGGGAGTTGGTAGTCTCTCAGTGTGGCTACTATTTTGCAAAGTAGCAGAAATAATTGCATGTTTGAGGCTTATCTGCCATACAGTTGAAGCTTTTTGAAGAAGTATAATAGTTATTAACTTTTGGGAATTTGATTCCTTTAGTGAGGGTTTGGGGTTTTTTTTTTGTTGTTGTTTTTTTTTTTTTGAGCCAGAAGATTTTCAAAGATGCTGAGTTGTGAGGTTTTGTTATCTTTTTATTCTTTTTTTAAAAAAACCACTTGTATAGATAAAACCCCAAACCAGCGGCTGACTCCATTGTTTTTTTTTTTTTGAGCCAGAAGATTTTCAAAGATGCTGAGTTGTGAGGTTTTGTTATCTTTTTATTCTTTTTTTTTTAAAACCACTTGTATAGATAAAACCCCAAACCAGCGGCTGACTCCAATGAATGCATAGTTTCCTAATATTAAAATAATTCTTCCTTGGCAGGGAAATAGCAACAAATTTCAGGCCATAGCAACTTTTTTACAGGCAAGTTTGAAACCTCTGAAAGCAGAATTTACAATGAAAATGCTGACATCTCCAGTTATGCAAGGTTGTGTATGCATGAGAAGATGGACTATTGTGGTGTTTTAATAATAACCATAGCATAGCTCTTAATGAGCTTATTTTTATATCCAGCTTCCCAGCTTCCCTAGAAATGATCTTTAAATGGCTTTAAACAAAAACATTCAGAGATTAGTGTTTTCTTAAAATGGCTA